CAGCAGACTCCTACACAAGCAGGCCGTCGGACTCCGATGTCTCTTTGGAAGAAGACAGAGAAGCGATTCGGCAGGAGAGAGAGCAGCAAGCAGCTATCCAGCTTGAGAGAGCAAAGGTGACTTTCTTGCCCCTCTTTGGTTTCAAAATGGAATGTGGCTCAGCAGGTATCAACTGAACTGCTCTTCCTCTGCCTCAGATTTCTCTGAAAAACTCATTTTATGATCATTCCGATAAGATATCAGATTGCAAGGCTCTCTGATCCATTCACCCCTGACAGAGGTTCATAACATTCCCAGGAGCCATTGCCTGAGACACTTACCTTTCACCTTTTTGTGTTTGGTTTGGTAGTGAATTTTTGGTCATCTTCCAACTTAGCAATTGTGGCCAATGTCAAGCTAGCCATGCCCAGTATTGGCAGAGACCCGCACTCAGGTACCAGCTTGTTCCACCTGTTCCCTCTTATTCTTTATGACATCAGCCTTCATTACAGGCCGCACATGCACTATTGCTCTGTGGGCCTCCCTGTCGATCTCTCTGCTCTTTCCTCTTAGTTACAATTTCCCACCTCAAATTCATCATAAAGTTCAAGAACCTTGAATAAGTACTAGCATTTTACCAAAGATGAGCAATAAAAGCATTGCCAAGGTAGATCTTCAGATATTCCATAGGGAAAGGCAACCTGTACCCATAGTACTCTGCACCCGCCAGAGGCATAAATTGCATTTTTGAATGTTAGAACGAGAGAATCACTATAGATCTCCCATTTTATGTCTTTCAAACTATCTTTTTAAATTTTTTAGCACAGACTTCTTTTGTCAAATAAAATTTTATGCACAATAGTAAAATATCAAACAGGGGTCGTGGCCAGCCTCCCTTCCGTACTCTCTGTGACAGACTCCTAAGGCATATTGATCAAGTCGTTCTAATTTTTAGAAGAAAAACTGAAGCTCAAATAAAGTGAGCTCCCTTTTCTATTTTTCCAGTAAAAATTTTAAAAGAGCAGTAAGAGAAGAATGATGCAGGTAATGAGGTACCTTCGTTGGCTTCGATACCTAGGTGTCTGTGCATGGTTGGCAGAAGGGGATTTGGGGCAGTGCCAGTGAAAGGACATCAGTGAGACTCTAACTCAGTTGTTGCTCCCCAGTCATCATGAATAAATGAGCCAATGACGAAGAAGCCCAGGATTGCAGGAACCTTGTGTTCTGATTTGTGGCTAATTTTTGTTTTAGTTTTCTTTCAAGTCTGTTCTGTGGCCATTGTGGTCACCCAAATGTCAGTGGCAACACCATTAGCGTAGGCTGGTGGTTTGCTTAACCTCTGTGAGGCCACACCAGCCCAAGAGCACTTTATTGGGAAGGAATTTGTCTAAAAAGAGTTTCAGAACTAGCTCTTGTTAGCTAGGGAGAGGGCAGTGTGTGAGCAGCTCCGCCCTTCCTGTCTACCCCTGAACTTTCTTTTCCCTGGCAGGACAAGGTATTCCTTGGGATAGCATGGGTTTTTTTTAGATCTGAGCTACATCGCTACCCCCACCCGCCCCTGCCGCACAACAACCTTTTTATTTAAGACCCAGCACACATTTCCTGTATCCAACAGGTGAAGTGTCTGTTATCACTTAAAATAAACATAAGTTTTATGACGAGAGGATTAAGCAGGCAGCCCCTCCTGCCTTTCCATCTCTTTCCAGTATGTTAAGGTATATTCTTTGTTTGCAATGTTGGAAAGTACTACAGGAGGGGGAAAAATGTGTGGGCTGATAGTACTGAATCATTGTGGCGTCATCTCTGCAGATGTCTCAGTGCTGCCTGAGAATGTGAAACCCATTTGAGATCCCCCTTTGGAGAGTAATTTTCCTTACTGCCTGGTACTATCAATTATCTTATTATAATACTATGTTTTGATATGAAAAATACTCCTCTGTCTTCCTCCCTCCATCTTTATTCTGTGATTCTGTCCCCAGTCCAAACCTGTAGCCTTTGCCGTGAAGACTAACGTGAGCTACTGTGGTGCCCTGGATGAGGATGTGCCCGTTCCAAGCACGGCCATCTCCTTCGATGCCAAGGACTTTCTACACATTAAAGAGGTAAATGTAGGGCACTCTGCGTCCCTCAGCCTGCCACAAAGCCAAGGCTGGACATCAGCTCTGAGCCAAACCACAGGGAGAGGAGCCCTGAGGAGCTGCCAGTGTGTTACCTCATCTAATTTGCTGAGCCATCCAAATTCATTCATTCTCATGAGATTTAGAAGCCTCAGAGCATTGCTCGCATTATCACACGTTTAAAACATTGGGTCACATAGGCTGGATTCAGGACAGATCTGTGATCCTCTGGTCACCTTTCCATCACCTTACATGACTACAGAGCCATAGATCTGTGGATCCAACTTAGGGAAATATGAGTTTGGTGGCATGGCACCTACCCATAAGGGACTATTTATAAGGGATGCTGTAAGTATAAACATCTAGGCTATAATCCTGTGGACTTCGAGCTTGGAACCAACACTAGAGAATTCAATAATTACAGTGTTAAAGCTAAGAAGAGGGCAAAGGACTTTGAGAAACAGAAAACTTAAGAGATCGAGCAAAACAAGGAGGACTTGAGGCCTCTCAACCCAAAAGATGGAATAGTACCATCCAAAACTTTCATTTACTCACCTAGGTATATTGAGCGTATTTAAATCCTACTTCATGTCTGGCATCGTGCTGGGCATCGGGGGATCAGAGATGAAGGCTCACTGACAAGTACACAACACGGGGTGACAAGTTCTATTACAATAAAATGGAATGGGTGTTGTGGGAACCCAAAGAAAGAGCAGGAGGGACCACTTGGCCTGGGAGGAGGAGAATCAGGGACCCAAAAAGCTCTATGGAAGTGGTGAAGCCTGAGGGAGTTCAGGCTGGGATGGAGGGTGAGGGTGGGTAGCATCAAGTGGAAGGGACAGCCAGGAGCAATGCATCATGTCTGGAGGACAGTAAGTAGAAACTGGTACAGGGGATCATCCTGGGCAGAGAGGCAGGAGCCTAATAAAAAAAAAAGGACCGCTTAGGCCACGGCGAAAGCCTGGACTTCATCACCAGGCCATGGGCTGCAGAGGAATTTAAAATAAAGGATGGCTATGATCACCTTTTAACTCTGATGGTTGAGGTACTATTACAGAGATTGGGGAGACATGTAGCGGTAGACAATGGCTATAGCAGAGTATGGAGAAAGGGATCAGCTTGGGAGAGAGTTAAGGGGCAAATAGACAGGATTGGGAGATTTTACTTGGGTAGGGATATTGGAGAAAGTGAGATAGAAAGAAATGAAGGGCGGAGGCCAGTTTTTCCAGCTTAAGTGAAAGGGCGGATGGTAGCATCAGCTATCAAAATCAAGAAGTCAGAGAGGGGAAGACTTGTTATGGGGTGAAAATGGTTATAAATTTGCTTTTAGGTATGCTGTGTCTAGAATGCTGTGAAACTTCTGTGAAGGTACTTAATAGACCTTTATCTATATAACCTGGAAACCAGAAGAGATGAATTGCAATTTTTAATTCCTTTCGACTTTCTTCAAGTTGAAAAGGAGAATGGATTCTAGCCAGGAGAGGAGAAGATGGCATAGAATTGAGGGATTATTTTTAAATTTTGATTTTATTTTAAGGATGGGAAAGATTTAAGCATGTTTTCCATACTGATAGATTGAACCCAGTGAAATATATTGAAAGGAAAAGGCATAGCTGATGGAGTGAGGGGCTGGAGTAGAGAGGAGAAGTTGGCATCTGGAAAATGGGCATAAGAATTAGGCTGAATCAGAAGGAAAAGTCTTAACCTTTCTTGAACATCTCTGTTCTGCACAGAATTTTTCAGTGGGTTTGGAGGCATCCATTGCAGGACTTGCCTACTCGACAGTTTCCATTGGCTCTGCTAGGAAGGAGGCATTGGAAATTAGATTTTAGAAAAAGGAGAGTGTAAAGGTGGAACAATAAAGTGAAACCTGAGAATAAGGTAGCCTGAGGATTGTGTTGAACATAAACATATCACTTAATGTCACTGAGACACTCGCATGGTAAATATATAACAGTTTTGAAAATCATTGTCTTTGAAACTGCATTCTGCAGTGGCAGTAGTGACACAAAGACATATACATCATTTTAACATTTTAGTTATTTGATGTCAAGTAGGTCAAACATCTGAATGTCTACAGATGTCTCACTATCTTTGCATTGTGCCCATGTGACCTGTGTGAGGTTCTGCATTTGTTTACTCACTTATTCAATATATAGTTCTTGAGCATTTAACACATGGTATGTCCTGGCAAATGTCCAACAGCTGTAAACAAAGCAGAGTCCCTTTCCTCATGAACTTAAATTCTAGTGAGGAGACAAATAATGAATAAGTAAATAATTCTAAATTGTGAATGCTTTGGGGGAAAAAATGAACAGATGCTGAAATTTTTTAAATCTAAGAATGAGGAAGTTATATACTTTTAAATATAAAGGTGATCAGAGAAGGCTTTTCTGAGAATATGACCTTTAAGCAGAGACCCAAAGGATGAAGAGGAGCCAGCCATAAAAAGAGCAAGGGAGGGAGCTTCTAGGGAGAGGACTCTGCATCTACAAAGGCCCTGAGGTAGCAAAATAGCCTGGCACAATCGATTAACTGGAAGAAGATTATATGACTGGAATGCAGTGAGTAAGGGTCCTAGTAGCAGGAGACAGAGCTGTAGAAGTGAGCGAGGCACACGTCAAGTAGGACCTTAAGGTATGGTGAGGCTTCAGGTTTTATTCTAAATGTAATGAGAAGCCATTGAAGACTTTAAAAGTAGAGGAGTGGGATGAATTTATATTTTTAAAGGTTCTCCAATTGTTGTACAGATAATTGGATAAGTATGGAATCAGGGAGACCATTAGAATCAATCTAGGTGAGAGGTAATGGGATTGAGCCAGCATGCTGGCAGTCAGATAGAGGGAAGTGGACATATTTGAGATATATTATAGAAATTCAGGAAGAGCACAGGTGATAGACCAAGAGTAGGAACTAAGATTGAACAACCACGATGGATATTTCCTTGGGGGGAGAGGACAGATAGAGAGGGAGGCTGGGGAGTGGACATTTCAAAGGAGATATCAAGTAAGAAGTCGGGTATAAGAATCTGGAGCTCAGAGGAAAGGATTTGGCCAAAGATATAAATTTGGATCATTAGTTTATGTGTGGCATTTAAAGCCATGATAATGAATGAAATCACCTAAAGAAAGAGTAGAGGGAGGAAAGAAAGCAGCCCTGGATCAAACCCAAAGGAATTCCATCCTGCAGAGGTGGGGTACATGAAAAGATTTAACAAAGGAGCAATATGAGATAGAGGAGGAAAACCAGAGTAAAGCAATGCATGGACATCAAGAGAGAAAAATGTATCTACAAAGAGAAAGCAGTGAGCTGTGGCAAATGTTGTGAGATGTCACCTAAGATGAGTAAGGAACAGATGTTGGATCAGCGATGTGGTCAGCAGCATGGAGGTCACTGAGACCACTGTCTGAAAGCGTGGTGACGGAAGCCTTCAAATGAAATGGGATGAGGAGAGAAGGGGAGTCAGGAAGTATATTTAGCAAGTGTAGACCATGCTTTCAAGGAATTTGACACTGACCAGGCAGTAGTCTGAGAAGGATATGAAGTTCAAAGAGCTTTTCTTTCAAGACAGGAGCTATTGGAACACCTGTGCATGCTGATTTTAACAAACAGAGAAAAAGAGAGATTGATGAATGGGAAAGGAGAGAGAGGTAAAGGAGTAAAGTTTATGAGTAGGCAAGAAGGGTGGGCTTCAGACCCTGAGTGGAGGGACAACCCTTTGGTAGGAAGGGGAGCACTTATTCATTGTAACATGCAGGAAAAAGATGGGTGCAGGCACAGACTGCCTCGGTAATGGGAAGCTGAGGAAGCATCAGCTTGACAGTGTGTGCTTTCGCGATGGTGTATGAGGCTAGGATATACCCATTTGCCTACAAGGCAAGGACCCTCAACCTGAAGCATGTGTCTCGGCATCTGAATGGTTGTTCATTTTGTCTACTGTTCCCATCAAAAATGGCCAGGCTATATTCATTAGTTGCTAACACTCATTATTTCCAAGGAGAAGCAGCATTTTAAAAGGTAAGAGATGTTCTCATAAATTCCGTGCACTCACTCACGCCAGCATTCCCGCCTTACTATATTTTATTGCTTTCCTCCATCGCATCAATACCCCTAATTTGTCCTGTTGGTTGCTTTTTGAGCTACATTCTCCTTGATCAGTGACTTTCTCTTCAGTCTGGCAGTTTGATATATGGTATTGAGCTTGTAATCCCTATGTGGATTAGAGCCACTTGTTTCAGATCTTGAAATATCATACAAGAAAACATCTTAGAAAGAGAAGGCACTAATCATTTTAGAGAAATCAAAATGAGAAGGATTCGAACAACACTATGGTGACCTTGCCAGAAAGCTGGTACTCACTCCCAGAACGTCAAAACAAACGAACACATTTTATAATTAGGGTGTAGCTTTTCCTCTCATCCATCACCTAAGTCATCTATTATACATTGTTTTAACTACTTTTTCATTACTGAAGTTTAAACAGGGAGAAAAGCTACAGCTCTTCTTATCACATACACCAAACGATTAAGCTCTTAAGTGTATGTAGTGACTTTCTCTTAAGTAGCTCAAAAAACTTGCATTTACATTGAATCAGATCCTTGCTGTCTCATCTATTTCCTAGAACTAAGTTAAAACATGTTAGGAAGTTGCAGTAACCATTTCAGGAAGCCCTTTCAGGTCACTTGGGTACTGTTTAATGAATTAGTATTCCAGTGGACTAACTTAATTTCAGGAAATAACTTAAACCCTAGGAAACTGTGATTCAGAGTCTGTTTTGTCCTTACCACAGTAAAATTTAAATACCAGGCCAGTGCACCAAAGATTCTAAAAGGGTCCCTTTGCCTTTTGTTCTTTCCAAAATAAAAAGAGCTGGTATTTTTGGCTTGCTATCTTAAAATAAAAGTTGGGAAGATGGGAGAAACTGAGACTTAGATTGTTCATGATTTTATATTGGATCAACTCACATTTCTTTAGTTCAGTCTCACTCTACGTCCCATGCATGCCTTGTGTGGGAGTTGTGTGCATAATAAAAGCCAAATTACTAAACTTTATCTTTTTACTTTTGAGTATGAGGCTGCTACTGAGAATTACTCAAAGTTACACAGAATTTCATGCTGGGATGATTCAATGAAACCATCCATTCTTCCATCACAATGTGTCAATGTTACATACGTATAAATTCCTCTTTTCTCTGAGCTAAGGCAAGTGTACTACATAAAGTTATTACATTTTGAAAAAATATATATATGTACTTTTAGATCAAAGCTAGAGAATTATCTTGCCCAACACTGATAAAAATAACAAAGGAAGTTTTTGGAATCATCTCTGGAGGATGTAAACAGTAGGACTGATATCTGCTATCTAGAAGTCACCTAGCTGAAAACTTCCTTTGAGGCAGGAGGGTTGGATTAAATATGTCTTCTACTCTAGGACTCAGCAAATCTGTAATTATAAATGCAGTTTCACTGACCCATCAAATAAGGCCACGTTGACAGTCTCACCCCATATTGACTGAAGCCTTTGTGTGGGCTAGTTTTTCAAGTTGACCTGTCATGGAACTTTATTTAAGTGGAAATCCTTGTGTTCCTGTTGGGCTTCAGGCCATTTGGAGATTATTATGTTAGGAGGTGTAGGGGAGGAAAAATAATTTTCCTTCTAAATTCTTCTGGCTGGTCTGGTAATCACATTGGCATGAGACAGGTTAACAGGAGAAAATAACCAAGTTTATTACATATGAACATACGAATTTTCCTTCTACCCTTCTAAATTCTTCTGGCTGGTCTGGTAATCAAATTGGCATGAGACAGGTTAACAAGAGAAAATAATCAAGTTTATTACATATGAACATACAGGGGTTCCTTAAGAATATGAGACCCAAGAACAGATTGGGCAGTTAAGATTTATATGTCATTGTGGAGCTAAAGAGAAAGTGTGTGAGTGTGTGTGTGTGTGTATGTGTGTGTGTGTGTGTATGTGTGGTTTGAGACTTGAAAGGTCAGAAAAATGATTTATATGGAAATAGAAAAGCAGGTGTTTGGTAAATAAGTGTTTGCTGGGCCATCTTTAACAATGGGACACAGAGAAGATTTTGATCAAATGGGCCTTACTAGGTCTCTCCCTGTCTATCACACTTAGTTCATATTAAACTATAGTTACCTATGACAATAGCTTCCTTCCTGAAGCAGGTCCTCCATCTAAATTCTTTTAGGCAGTTAGAGGGGAAGGTTTTTCCTGAGTCTTTTGTTTCTTAAAAATAACCAGCTTAAAGTAATCAGTATCTCAAAAGGCATATTTTGGGGTGGAAAATTCTGCTTCCCCTCGGAGGATTATAATTTTTCCCTAGTGAGAGTAGATAACAGACAGTATCATGGATTTTTACCTGACAGCTTTTGACAAAAAAAAAAAAACAAAAAAAAAAAACGGATTATTGAATGTATTTCATTTCAGACTTGCCTGTTTTGTCTTCCAGAGTTCCAGACTTCCAGTTTCAGTTACACTGATGCATATTTAGCCTTATGAAATCTATTTGTTAGGAACTGGCTGAGGCTTTTTGCTAAGGACCAAAGGAAGACCTGACTTTAGTTTAGGGATTGGCAAACTGTGGCCCGCAGGCTGAATCTAGCCTCTGCGTTTTTTGGAAAGAAAAGGTTTATTGAAACACAGCCACAGTCATTTGTTTCCATATTGTCTGTAGATGCTTTCTCACTATGAGAGCAGATTCAAGTAGTTGCAACAGACACCATATGGACAGTAAAGTCTAAAACATTTACTCTCAGGGTCTTTACATAAAAAGTTTGCAGACCCCTGCTTTAGTCTATGGACCCCCCAAATAGGTAGTTAGGTAGATAGGTAGGTAGATGATAGATAGATAGATAGATAGATAGATAGATAGATAGATAGATGATAGACAGATAGATGATAGAGATAGATCGATAGATATAATATAATATAAATAGTGTTTATATAATAT